CTCTTCATGGATGTGCCATGAGTGTGAAGTAAAAATGACGTAAGCTAAAGCATTTCATAAACTAACAGAATTGTATTTTTTTGTGTGTCATCTTTGTTCAGCGCTGCAGTTTTTTATTTTTTCTAACTTTCCCTTACATTTCCCCTTTTAAATTTTAATTATGTAATAAAATAGGGAAGGCAAAAACAATTAAGTTCTGTCAATGGGATCCTTAGGGAGGGGTGAGGAGGCAAAGAAGAATGGGATGGTGGAGAAATAGTTCCAGGGGATGGCAACAGCCAGAGAAGTTCTGATGCCCTGGGGAGCTTTTCTCCTGATGGGTGGAGGCTGCAATTCGCACATCATAACCTTTTCCTTCTCAACTCCAGAGAAACAGGAGACTGTACCTAAATGATCAAGCTGTAACTAATTGATTTTCAGCTAATCTCAGCCTCCAGCTATGAAGAAACAAGGACCAAAAGCAGACCCCAGGAAGGGGTGGGGACAGAAAGAGAGGAGTGCCAAGAAAGCCTGGAGGTAGAGACCATCATACTAAAGAGGAAAGGCCAAGTAATGTGAGGGGAGGGAGTGAGAGAGGGAGGCAATATTGAAAAAATGGATGAAAGGAGGGAACTGGAAGTAGTGGGTGAGGCCATCCCATGCCCTCTGAATTTATGTTATCATACCTTCACAGTTCCAGCTGTTAATTCTGAATAAACTTTTACAACTGGCTATTTGTGAGTGGCTATTAACAGGAGGAAAAATCTTTTAATTAAACTATATGATTATACCTATCACTGCAGCCATGCCTGTCATTTGACAATAATATGGCTTTAAAGAACAAGAATCCCTTGGGTCATGATCATGAATGCAAAAGGTTGTTAAAGAAGAGAGTAAAAAGATTTCCACCCTCCCAAGCCTCTTCTCTCTTCAAAAGTTAAAGGTGTAAAAGAAGTATTGTTTCTCCCAATATTAGCATTTGTTATTCCAGGCGGATCTATGAATATGTACTATAATGGTTTTAGACCATCTTGTCAACATTACCATCACTGCCCTCTTCCCCCAAAAAATCTTGCATGTGTTTATAGGTAAGTTTATGTTACACAAGTGTTAATAACCCTGTTGGAGAGACTACACAGATAGGCATCTTTAGGTAGATCTGCGTATAAATTCCTCTCCACTGGGCACTTGAGTCAGCCAAAAGCAACAATAAATATCAATGATGTCTTTCAAACCTGTCAAACGAGAACATAAGCATTTTTTTCTTCCAGTACCGGGAGAGTTTAATGATTTGGGGAAGTATGAGGAGAAGGGTTTAACTCAAAGTTTTGAAAGTATTTTTTTTTCTATTTCATATCTTAACATGCTAAATATGTTGTTATAAAATATGAAAAAATCCAAGCAACACATTCATGTACTTTCATCCCTTAGAATTAATAGAATTAATACATGTTCTTAAAATGTATCTAAGAAGTTTTTGACTCCAAGTCAACTGACCAGAAACCATTAAAAAAAAAAACAAAACCCTCCATCTTTATCAGAGAAATACATGTAGACAGGGAACACCATGAAAGTACATTTCCTGTGTTCACTGTTTTTTGTGCTTTCCTCTAAAACATCCACGTGTTGTATCATTTTAATTGTACTATTGCCAAGCAAACAAAATTGTAAAAGATATTAGAAATACACTACATGTTTATCTTAAACAGATTTATTTAAAAATTGCAAACAAGTTCCCTAATCTTTTCTTTTATTTGCATAGATATCTGATATATAAACTGATCCTTAATATTTTTGAAAAAGATGGTTAAAAAAGAAAAGATTTACCAGAAAGATATTTTTGTTCTCAACGAAATGACATGGTATTGACTGAGCAAGGACGCCTGGAAGGATCAACAGTTTTAGGGACAAAGCAGAAGAGTCAACCTATAAAAGCTGGACACTAGAGACTGACAAAAATTGGCCTAAAAATAATGAATCCAATAGAGTGGAAAGTTTCTCTTCACACAATAATTAATATTTGTCTCTTCAGAGTACCCAAATCACTTAAACAAATTAAAGGTCAAAATAAGGTGCTTGTTTTCATGTTCAGTTGTTTATATCAGTCTTAAGGCAATTTATTCACATTTTATTTTTTCTTTTAGGAAATTCTCATCTATTTTTCATTTATGAAAAAAATTAATCTCATCTGGAATTTTTTAAAATAGATTATTTTGTTAAGTGATTCAGAGTTTAATTGATCTTGATGAGCAAAATTAACGTTAGAAAAAATGTCTTTCTGAATGACAAGATAATTCTAGAAAATCCATCATTTGACTTGAAAATTACACAGATTTGTGTTTATATAAAGGACATATCTTTTTAGTGTAATTCAGCTTATTATGGGAACTGTCAACAGATTCTTTTCACATATTTAAATATCCAGGTAACTTCCTTAATACAAATCCCTTGCTTATGGCTAATTTGATCATTTGCCCTTAGTTTCCACAATATGCATATCTTTTAAGATACTAACATAAATAAATGAACAAAATCCTCCTGAGTCTTCTAAGAACATAAAAAAATACTATTTGTTAATGAATGTTACATTAAGAACCACCGACATTCTTAGTGCAGTTAATCATGATATTACACTTTAACCTTTTCTAAGTCTGCTTTGACCTATTTTATTATGGAAGAAATACAGAAGTTAAAACCTTTTACTAAGTAGTGTTTGATTGTAAGCTTTGGATATATTAGAAGGTACAGTCTAAGGTTAAAATAAAGTTGGGTTCAATTTTCCTCAGAGGCTACTAGGAAAAACTCAGTACCAGAATCAATTTGTCAGTAATTTCACATGAGACATTTAGTTTTGTATTATTAAATAGAGAAAAAGCAATACAATTCATTATTGAGGATAAATCACTATTGAGCAGTTCAAGCATGATAAAAATAAATATCTTCTGAAGTTTATATCTAATATTGTTTCTCTAGAGTAAGATAAATAATTGTGTTTCATGGTATAGTTAGTAAACTGCTTTGTTGTTATAATCCAAACAATACAACCAAAATTTCATTGATTTAAAAATATAAGTATACTTTAATGATAAAAATGGCCCTAAAAGTCACTGACTAAAACTGTTTATTATTGTTTTTGGCTTTCTTATTCTGTGTAAATGTATAAAAAGTAATGGCATACAGATTCAAAAATCCTACTTAATTCCTTCCTAAAACAAATATATTTCTTTTGTGAATGATCAAAATATTTGATTTCAACAAAATATATATTTTAGAACAGATTCATGACTGAGCTATTGTTTTTTAAAATACATGACACAGTCTGCCCTGTCAGATTTTAGGTGACTGGAACTAATTTTTTCAGTGATATGTTTTATGCATATGTAAATCATGCTAGATTGAAATTCTTCTATTAGAATATTAAAACTCCTTTAAATTACTGAATCATACTTTAGAAATTGCAACAAAGTAAAACATCCCATGAGCCACATTGCATATCACTTATACTAGGAAAAAGCAATCAAACTAATTTAAAATTAAGCCATATTTCAATGGCTTGAAGGTTCCAAATGAAACCTGTTAATTATATGTAGAAGAAAAGGCCTCCAGGACACCTGATTAGGGCAACCAATGATGACTTACTGAAACTTATAATAATGAGACCTCTGTCTCTAGCAACACGAAACTTGATTTATTAAGCACCTTATCCTTCATGCTAGGATTGCGAAGAGCAAATGAACAGAGCATATGAAGCAACATGTTTTATAAAAACATTCATGTATTTGAATTTGTTGCTATCTGACTTTTCAAAGACCATTTTCTTTGAGATGTTATACAAGGAAGTTTTTAATTAAGTATAATAAAACATGTCAATTTTAAGTCAAAGCAGATTGCAGTTTTCAAACAAAGTTTGGAAAGTTCTTACATTAAAATGTTTCTAATTCTTTCAAGTTGATTACATTTGTTCATAAAATTTTGTCTTCAAAACTGACTATATACCATGTTATTTTTTTGAATGTCTGAAGATAGCGAATTTTCATCTTTAGCCTCTACTAAAACATTTTTAAAAATACAGCCCTGTGAAATCACTCTAAATTGGTAACTCCTTAATATTTTTAAGAGATGAAATACTGGGCACTAATTTACCATTTGATATTGTCAATATTTTAAATCTGCCACAAAAATACCAGCTTTGAGTAAAACATAATTTTTAAAAAAGTATTCTCTAATAATGCTGCTAATCAAAGAAGTTTTTGATTCATTTTTTATCCTAAAGGAAAGGGAAGATTTTGCATAAGTAGAGACCATCATAGCATGTTTTATATTTCTCTTGCTTCTGGAAACAATCAAATGGGTATGATACCGTTTCATCATTAAGAAATTAAGAAATGTTAGTTTGAAGCTTCTTTTCCAAAGTATTTTTCACACTTTCAGAACCTCTCCCTGAAAATCTTTGATAGTAATCTTTTTCAGAATTATTTGAACTTAGTTAATTGTATGTTGATATTTTCACAATAACTGACTCGGCCAAATGAGTTTTTAGGTGGCAAATAAATGTATACTTACATGTTTGTTAAATTGCTAACAAAAAAAATGTTCCAAAAAGACACTTTAGTTTTCAATCTACAAATGCTTCTTTTTTATTTGTATTATTATTTTTTTGCCCATAGCACAGCTATCCTCATAAATTTTCCTTTTTTGTAGACTACTGCCTTATTTATTCACACATTAAAGCATGACTGAAATTTTAACAAGATTTCAAGGACCTAAATCTACCTGACTATAAGTGTTTAATTTTAGCTTTTCATATTTAAAAAATTAAATATATGTACCTGTGTGTATGACTTTGTTGCCTAAAGCAAAATCTTTCATTGTATCAATGAAAGAGAGGAAACAGAAGCTGGAGAAGAGAGTTACAGAAAATGACTTTATATAAACATGACCACCTACCAGGCTGCTACTTTACTATTAGAAAAACTTCCACTTAGTAATAACATCGTTTAACAAATAAAAGAACAACATACCTAAATTGACAAAGCTCATGACCATGTCAGCATCGTTCAGAAAGTTGGTATCATGTAGGCTGGCTAGAGGTGGGCTCTGGGTGGTCAGAGGAGTCGTTCGAGATAACTGTATGCGACGAGGATACCCATTGGGAGAAGCTGCGTATCCTTTTCTTGCTCCTCTGGTCTCTCCTGCCAGGGATGCCCTCACTGAGTATTCCGATGCTTCGGGATTTTCTTCATTGGCCATAGCATTGTATAGGTCCAGCATAAAGAGAGGTGCAGAGGAAGCTTGTTTTCCAGGTGAAAATGGTCTGGGTCTATGAGGCAAACCCAAGATAGAGAGAATTTCCCTCTGTATTTCCCGTCTTTCGTGGTTCCGTAGTCTTCTATAAATAAAACTGGAGTGAACATGATTGTCTCCCAAACCTCCTTTTGCATAACCCACTAGAACCCAGCAGCTCCAGAGGAAACCCACAATACTCCTAAGTAGAAATACAGTCAGATGCATTTTTGTCCAAAAGCAAAAGTTGATATTTTTAGTCCTTCTTGTCCTCTTTAAAAAAAAAAAAAAAAAAAAAAAACTAAGTTCCTAGGAGGTGCGTTTTCCCAGTAGCTGAAAAAACAAATTTACCTATTCTTCATGACAGTGACATTTCAGAACATAACATCCTCACTGATTTTCCTGTCCTATTTTAAATATTTTGGAATATGTCAAGAATAGTTATTTCTAAGAAAGCTGAAACTTGGATTTCCAATTATCCACAGTTGTTAAGAGTTTTTGCTGCATTGATGTAGCAGAAGACGGATAAAATTATTTGATCAGATGACCTATGCATTCCTATAGGAATTTATGGTAATCAGGCCTTTGGTATTTGAATCAAGGAAAGTTGATCTTCTGATAAACTGTAGTTCCCAAAGTTATCTTCACTTGCTCTTGAGTTCTTCTCAACCCTTGAGCTCTTTCCAAGACAAATCCTGATTTCTGAATCACAGATCTATGCTGATCTGCACCTTGGTGTTGGAATATATATTTGTCCGGCAGCTTGGTGATAACTTTAACATCTTTTGTGTCGTCTTAGTGTAAAATAAGACTCAAGGTTGTCCTATTCAAGTAAATGTGTTTCCCTGAATTTACTTGAAAACCTTCCTGTAAGTCCATTCAATCCCTTTCTCCTTCTAACTGTTAATTCCACCTCCAGCAGGCACAAATATACCAGCCCTCTTCAAGGGAGATCTAAAGAGTAATGTAAGCACAACCCTGCTGGGAAAGAAGAGGCTTCTCATTGTAATTTGAAACTGGTAAAGCAAAAAGAACTTAACCCTTTTGCTACCAGAAAAGTCTTCATTTTCACAATTTTATAGCCACGCATCTAACACAGCACAGTGATACCTGGGGCATAGATGTCCTGGGGTGGGGGCAAAGCCAGTTTTAAGCAGCACACTGAAAATTTTGCCACCAGTTTTATAGAGTACTCTTTTATATCTTTCTTTTCATAGTACACATTTAATACACTCTTATATTAAGTCTCAGGTTGTGGCTAAATTAACATAAATCTCAGTTCTATATTTGAGGTTATTTCTAACTTTTATGAGTTATTAAAATTTACTTCTTAAAAAATAAGAGTTGTAAATTGAGATTAATTTGTTGTTTCTTAGTGACAGTCAGATCTTTTTAGAATAAAATACAGTAGAGAAGTAATCAGCAGTAAATATATTCTAGCTCCCAAAGCAGTAGTTATAGTAATTTAATAATGGTGATGAGATAGCCCAGCTTTAATGATCTTTAAATACAAAAATTTTAAACAGAAAAATATATTTCCATTTCTCTTATTAAGTCAGTTACGGTTGAAAGACAAATACCCCAAGATACAGTGTCATGATTCTTAACTCTTAAGACATTTCAGTTGAAATGTAAACAGACTTACAAATTAGATTTTTCCCATAAGTTATACTCAGTACTTTGGTTTGTTTTAACCCATGCAAATAAACACAAGTCAAATATTCTCTATGACTACATGCAGATTGAAATTTGCGTTTTCAAAATTTGATGGGTATAATGGGGAAAGTGCACACCTTTCTAAAATACCATACTTAATCCAAGGAAATGAGCAAAGTACGTGTTTATCCTTTATGTTTAATGCCTTTAAAATTTAGAAGTCTACAATGTTTTTGTGCAGCTATAATTTTCCTTACAAGCTCTCACTTAACCTTAGGGCTCACAGTACTTTCATTGTCTGGGACATTATTCTGATACCAGTGTAGATTTATCGAGCAAATTCTAGAACTATTATGAAATTTTAATGTTTTTCTTTTGCTCTACCTAGAGGCGCCTGGTTTCTTGTTTAATTTCTTTTTAAATATTTCCTCTGAGTGTCTAAAGCGAAGGCATATTTTTCACAAGTCTTCAGTTTGTTGGTGAAGGCAAGATATCTGAAAGAGCTGGCAGAATCTTACTGTGTGCCTCATTTTTCTTATACAAACCCACTGCCCCAAAACTTGACAATGCTGTTTCATATTTGCCCTACTGAAGATTCCTTATTAGCAGCCATGTCGGACACACAGTGGCAGACCCAAGAACCAACATACATGAAGCACCTTTATAAAATCGATATCACATGAAGAGCGATAGTGCAGGTTGTTAGCAAGTGATGGGATACTATTTCAGTAAGAAAGGGTTTAAACCACTACAATTCTTGAAGTTGTTTATTTCCTATCCAAATCAACCTAAGAATTTTTGGTCATTGCTGTGGATTCAAATCAAGTACGTCGAGACCAAAAAAAAGAATAAAACAAAAACAAAAACCTTTTTCTCTGTGTTTAGAAAACCAATCCCAACTAAAGCCTACAGTTTCTCTCTACATTTTTAAATAAATGATCAAGGTTCTGAATACGCTTCATGTCTCTAGAGTACAGCATAAAGTTACAAGTAAAAATTGGCCAAACTAGAGGAAGAAACAACGTTTATTATCTTCCACACATGCTTTTTTTTTTTTTTTCCTAAGATACAAATGAAAAATAAAAGTGAGTTTAGGTGTCACGAGTCACAAAAACTCATTTTCCCAAAGCATGATTTATAATATCAATCAGTGTCATTGTGATTTAACCACTTAACCAGGCATATATAGCCTACCTCTGTGTTGGAAATCAGATGCCAATATTTCTGGTCAGAATCTTTAGTATCCACCCTCCCCCCACCTTCCCTTCCAACTCAGACTAGATTTGGCAAACATTCATTTTTCAAAAGGATCAACATGTGCAATGAGAGAAAGAAAATAAAGAAGAAAAAAACTTGCCAGGAATAAAGGGGAAATGCTAACCACCAAATGAAAAGCCAGATTCATTTTCAATTAAATGTATTTTACTACATAATTTGGATTCCCAGGTAGATGTGTATTTATATACATGAGAGCAATTTGAAAGATAAAGTATCTGTAACTGCAAAGTATAAACATTCCAAATTTCAGAGTATGTATTTAAAAGTTGTATAAGTCATTGAACATACTGAATAAATATATGCTGAGAAAGAATTTGGGACTGGAGAAACACCCAAAGCATCTCAAGAATTGTTCCTAAAGATAATTACATTTCAAGAAGAGGAGCCTGCGTAGAAACCTACCTCTCATAATGTAGTATTTGCCTGGGCTATATACTAATGGGAGTGACCTTCTGGTGGGGTACAGAGACTATTGAATCCAGCTAAGAGGTACTTCTCCACTGTCATTCTTTCTGTTCATTTTCTCTTTCCTTCACCAAAATTTGACGCGTTTAGTCCACGAATATGTAAACCACCTACATCCAATAGACAACCTTTCAGAAGAAACTTGTTCAAAAGAAAGTTGAAACATTTGTAAATCTGTTTTCTATGAAAGGGTCTTTATATTTCACTTCTGGTTTCGTTGCTGGTTTCTCCTTGAAACAAAAGTTCCTCAGTGAAAGACATGACTGCAGTTAAAGACAGATACCTAACATACATGATATCTGCATTCCTAAATTATCTTTCAAGTTTGGAAAATAGTCCAAAATAATGTTAATGCAATCATAAAATCCTTAAGCAGCAGCTATCTTGGATCGTGTTGAAGGACATGAGGACAAAGGGTGGAAAGGAGATTGCTGAGGAGATTGGAAAGACTGCCAGTAATGGGAGACTTCGGGGAAAACATCTCCTTCTAGAATCTTCTTGGTGAATATACATGCACAGGCAGAACACAGCAGCTTCTGTGATATTAAACTGCCTTCAGCTCACTCTTTTTGAGCCAAAAACATAGCACATGTAAAAGAGAGAATATGGCGTACATAGCAGTGGTCCTGAGTGGTGCTATGCCACCACCCACCCACCCACCCCGCCCCACCTTAGATTTGCCTGAAGTAACTGAAAGGGGTTGCAATCATGGGCAGCCTACACTTTTTTGTCTAAGGAATATCTTTTAAGGAAAACTTGGAAATTAATAATAAAATACAGTCACCAGAAACATTCAACGTTTAGTATTATTTTTAATAAATGATGAAATTAGTGAATATTTTGACAAGAAAAGATAATTTTTTCAATATGCTTTGTATTATTATACATTCCTAAGGTTGTTTTGCATCATTTCATGAGAGTAGGCTTCCTAATAGTTACTTAAGGGAGAACAAACCAACATTCAACTATTCTGAATCAAACACTACTAATGAAAGGCCTAAGGACTGTATCTGACAAATGGACTCCCAATTGACTGACTTGAGAACAACTGGTCAAGATATTAGATTAGATGTTTTATCCCTCAACCAAATGACAGAATATTTTAAGTAGTTAGGGGACAATTAAGCAGTTAGTTACGTAGAATAGAATACGAAAGAATGTCTTCATTGGCAGAGCAATTTAGAATTTAAAAACTCCATCACAATACCCCACCATTTGGAATTATTTATTCATTTGATGAATATTTACTAATTGCTTAATATGTGAGTACTGTGTGCTTTATCTTTAGATATATCAAAAACTTCAAACAAAGCTCTTGTCCCCTCAGAGTTTACAATCATACATTATCATTTCAATTGATTTAATAGCATAAAATTATTTAAATATGGCTATTAATCAAGCTATTTCTACCTTTTTTGAGAGATTAACTAGAATGTTGTGTAAAAGTAGGGGGTTGGTTTACTTGGTTCATCAATGTCAAATAGTACATACTAACAACTCAATTAATAGAGGTCACACAACATATTTTTCTACAAAGATGAACAATATTCCAGAGATTTTTTTTTTTTAAACAGTGCTCTCTGGAAACATAGGAATAAGGATTCATTAGGCATATAAGTTGAGCAATCACTGTATCTCTTAGTAGGTAGGCTCACCTGATACACTAAAGGTTACTACTTTCATGAAGAAATTGGTTTATTAGGAGCCTCCTCCCAGTTACAAATTGAAGTACAAACTTCTGTCAATACTAGACAATCAAAATGACTTAGGAGGGAAAGCATCATTACATTAACAATTGCAAAATGCCTCGGTCTATCATTACAAGAAGAGCTGGTTAGGTTATGTCTATTGAATTAATGTCATCCTTGACCCAAAAGAGCAACTTCTGTCAATTAATACCTCATTATTTTGAATTGCAATGGCTTATTTGTTTTGTTTTAGGGTTGTTTTGTTTTTTTTTTTTGTGTGTGTGTGTGTGTGCTGTTTTTATGGCCTATATTGTAATGCAGGAGACCCTGAAAGTGACCACTAACCATTAACACCACCCCTGCTAAGCCTTAAACAGGTATATACAGAGTTGAGAAACCCAGGAGACTCTGGGATAAGGTGAGATCTGAAAAAGCCTGGACATGGGGAAAGGTACTAGATAAGACAAGTTGGAGAATACCAAAATAAATTTTTCTAAATTCATGTTTTTTTTTTTTTAAATTTTATTTATTTATTTGTCAGAGAGATGGAGAGCCCAAGCAGAGGCAGGCAGAGGGAGAAGCAGGCTCCCCGCTGAGCAAGGAGACTCGATTCCGGGACCCTGGGACCCTGTCCTGAGCCAAAGACAGATTCTTAACCGACCAAACCACCCAAGCATCCCTAAATTCATACTTTCTACCGCTTACACTTTTGCAGATGAAAAACTTTACCAGCATACTGACAGATGCAAAATCTGTGGGAGTGTTAAAGTTCAAGGAAGAGCACACCTGTCAATTTACCCCAATAATTCTCATGAAAAGCAAATTAACCCTCAGTGGAAAATAAAATACATAAAGGG